TTAGGTGGGAGGACTATAACGTTAAGAAGTTAATGCTACCTTAATCCCCCAGTGTGCGCAAACGATTAGTGAAATTGTCGTCCAAATGGTGACTAGCACTGAGTAGTACTAAACGCAGAATGCACAAACATCGTAGTCTATCAAGACATGGACATACCATTTGCCAAATCTGTAATATATTATCCTCGGACACAGAACAAATTGTCCAGGGGTCGTTTGCGTTCCACGAGAAGTCGGAAATCTTGGCTGTATGTCCTGCATGGATGAAGAGCAACTCAGGTGGACCATCTTCTGCGTCTTCCGCAGTCTGATCGACACCGATTTTACTCAGATCCCAGACGTGTAACCGACGATCAGTGCCGGAACTGGCCAAAATGGTCTCGTTGTGCGGTGACCATTGAACCTGTAAAAGACAAACAAAGAAATACATTACACTAAAAGTGTCGTGTCCCACGAACTCCGTGTGCCAATATTTTTGTTGCCCATGTCGTGCACCTTGTTGAACCTGCTTTGGAACAGGTCCTTAGAGCAGCCTCGAGTATGAAAGGCTTTCGGTACTTTGAGGTATCTTCTCAATAACCGCGGTGGTTTGCCAGATATCTTGAATGTTTTGCAAGAATACATCACAAATTAGACCCAGTTTACCGCACATAGTATATATATATATATATTAGATAAATGAAAGTAGAAAGAAAACAATAATGATCCACTCGGGTGTATTTCTGGGAGCCAATGATACCTTTCTTTTTCGTAAAGAGATCCATGGTCATCGGTTGCAAGGACGCAAATGTTGCCATTATTGGATGTCTACAGATCGATCCGCCTTCCCTCGGTTCTCTCCAAGACCAACCAGCTAGCCGCCGTGATTGGACTGCATACCGCTTCCTGGGGTTCAAAAGTGTGTCGATTTCTGTTTTATTCTTTAATCTGATAGTTTATAACAATCGGTTTTTCATAACCTTCTAATAGACAACGCAACGTTAGGGAAACACGTGGTGAAAAAATCAGAAACAACACATTGCTGTTCTTTTTCTTCTGATTCACTGTTACTGTTTGCTTTCCATGTCACTCTCTTCTGCAGTCGAATCACACCATTTTCTTTTATTTTCGTTGTGTTGACATCATGTTTGTTCACTAACCGGATAAATATAGCCATCTTTCATAGTCCATCTATGTTTACTGCAACTTGATAAACGTTTGCACGTTTTCTCTTTACAAACTTAGGAAACTTGGTGTTCCCAAATGATCAATAAATAAATTTATCATCGTATGCATTATACCTGAGGTTTGAGCTCTACCGCCTACATCCCAGCTCAGTGGAAGACAGCTTTGCTGTTAAAATGGCAAACCTTGTGGTTCCAGATCTTAAGATGCCGGTTCGCATAAGCAAACGACAGGTTCTAGTGACCACGAGGTAAACACATTTTATTAATTACACTCGGAGAATTTTGCTATTGTGGTGGAACAGTGAGTGCGCAACACCGAACGATTCAAACAAAGCGCGGGATGAATTAAGATCAATGAACCGACACAGCCTACCTTAAACACAGCACTTCGCGTTCATCCAGTATGGACAACAGTTTTATTGTTATTACGATTTAGCATCCGAATGTTCTGCTGTTTTGAATTTCAATATACCATAATGCATGCGACGTGACAGTGGAAGTTCAAGGTCGCCAGCTGGTTCACCAGACGGGAAGAGAGTAAAAACTGAGCCAGACCAGTGCAGTCACGGAAGCAAAATTGAGGACGAAAAGTCAACATCCGTGGCTATAACCGGGTCAGAAAAGGACTGGTAGTTCACCTAGGGGAGTTAGCTAAAACCCTGATCTCAAACCAACCAAAAAGAGGTGCACGAACCACACATACATTCCTGGTTATGGCACTGGTCACCGACTGAATTGGGCATCGAGGTGAACTGGGCCACCGCTGCCTTATGGGTCGGGATTTGATTAGTCGAAATACATAGTGAAATTCACCTGCCTTGACCTGAGCTACCTGGCAGTATTAAGCCCCCCCCCCATGCAAATCATGGAACTTTTTTTCTTTTTCAAAGAGATTTTTTGGTACACAATTATCCCTCGGACGTGCGTGAAATACACCGAAGCAAACTAGGAACTCGTCGCTGCCGAAACCAACAGCGTTTCCTTTATAGTTTTAGGCAATGTGAATTAGTATTCCGTGAAGTGTGTTCTATTGAAAGGGCGTGCAAACACGTTCCAAATCGTTTAAAAAGTCATACCACATAAACAGTTAGGGTCGTCACCATGAATGATTGATGAATAAAATATTACCGAAACACAATAGATCCTTCAGTGAAGTGAGAACATTTGGGTCATTTGGTCTAATGAATCGATGCGTAAATGATTTAGACGTTTATCGCCATTGTTTCTCGAATTTCCGCAATGATCAAATGAAATTGATCACCTGTGATCATGCGAACCGGTCACCATCCCATTTTCATATATTTGGGCTTCCGCACCGTCGCCTTGGTTTCATCTTTGTTTATTATCAGCTCCGACTAGTCAGGATCCCTTTCTTTACCTTCACTATCAGGAACTAGGTACGAGTTGGCTTCAAGGACTCAGCCGTGGGAGTTTGGTACGAAGAACAATCAGTTTGGTGATCTGGCCCTCGAATACATGTTCTGCTTGCAGGGAATTAAAGTGATGGTAATGGTCTTATTTAGCGGCGTGTCAGATGCGCGCAAGCCTCAAAGTTCTCTGGAGAATGCTCCGTCTTAATTGTTTTCTACTTAGCGCAAAGACACACTGAGCACTAATACAGGATTCTATCGCAGAGATAAACTTCGAAATGTTCTCCCTCGGGACCTTGACTAAATTTCACTCAGGCGCGTAAAATGAAATGCAAATTGGGACTGAGGATGAAGAGTGCAGTGCGGAGAAATGAACAAATGGATTACCTGGAAAATTTCATCGCGATGCGATTCGAATGAGTGCAACTTCAGTCGAAGGTTTCGCAGATCCCACAAAGCGACTGTCTGAAGAGGGGAACGAGCAGGGGAAGTAGCGGGGACTATACTGAGTATCTGACGACGCAATTGTGTCCTTGTTATCTCATTACATTTTTTAGGCACGATCAGAAACATAAGAGAATTTGTTTGTTTGTTCAAAACTACAAAAACTTTTAACTGCATTGACAGAAAGATTTTATTGCCATTGTAAGCTGCCTTATTGCATGTGTACTAATCTGACTGACAGATACCAGTTCGCATGACCTAATGAAACCAAGTCTTCAAAAAATCTGTAAACGAAGGTGGAATGTAGGGTGCCATGTTGTCCACTGATCTACGCTCATGAGTGAATCGGCAAATGACACAGTAGTTGGTGGTAAATACCACAATATGTTCACCCCTTTTAGCCAGCCACGAAATCTAACACGGAGTGATCTGACAAATGTGAACCCCTCAGAAAATCAATGTGAACGTGATGAGCTACTCTTTTGAATTATACTTAGATGTGCAACGTATCCTGAATTATAATCGTTTCCCACAATTCGTATTAATAAACTAATGGCTGAAAAGTTACATAGGTTTCAATACCTTAAACGCTTTGTTTCTACCGACCTAAATTTGTCTCATTAAATACGTAAACTTTTCTTCAGGTCACATTTCATGCCTACATCCGATAAAGCAGTCGGATACATTATCTATGTTGACTAGACCTTGCGTTCCGAAACTTGTTTGTCTAAAGATTTTATTTTGACTGATGTCCTCTGAAAAAATATTTCCACACATGGAAATGTTTCATATGCAACGCTAGTCAAGCTCATCAACACCTAACAGCTTGTGATCATCTGGCGGCGCTTCACTGCATCCGAAACTCTTGACCCGTCTCCACCGCTGCTACACGAAATACATTAAAGCCTTTAGATAAAGGTACCAGTTTTTCAAAGGACCGTGTGTTCTATCTTTCTCAGCTACTAGATTGAGTGTAAGAAGCGATTATCTGGTGAAGTCCAACAAAATCTTGTGCAACCTGGATGGAAATTTCACTTTTTATTTATTGATTTTTCTTTGTTCTTCAGTTTCTCAATACGTTTTCTTTTTCAAGGTCCTTCTCTTCTGCATTTCAATCCCACTTTGTTATTATTGTTGCTGTCTTGGCACTATGGTTGGGCGCAAGCCGATGCAATTAATATGCAGTTTTTTAGGTGCATCTTCATCGAAGCTAACTTGATGACTTTTTCATTGAAACTTTGCCCACGATGAACACTTCAAACAATTATGCTACAAATTGGGCCGTTACTAATATTGTGATACGAAGATGGATTACAAAAAGAAACGCCAGAGAGAAGAGGATGAAAAAAATGAACACCAATTCTACTAACGATACTCAACAAATAACACATTCTAGACACATCCGTTTCAGCTGAAAGTTATCAATCTTACACATTCCTGTAGCGGTTTTCGTTAGCGCCTTTGGGGTTGTCTACTGAGTCGAACAACGGTGCAGCGAAAAAAGAAGCGGATAGTTCCAAAGTAAAGATAAGGAATGTAATTTAATTGGTGGGTAGGTGCAAGTGTTCGAGAAAACCCCATCAGATAGATCACGTGCACTTCCTCATTCTAGGAACCTAACTCAGCCTCAGATGAATGTTTTTATATCCCTACACCAGGCCACGCTCTATTTTCCCAACTATTGATTATTTCAGCGGGCACCACACATCAGTAAAGGTATTCTGGGACACGAGTCATTCAATGGAAAGTGTATTGCCACGCTTTTTAAATTAAA